GTGTTTGAACTCTATTATCACAACAGGGCAGGGCCGGCTTGACACATTGAGAGACCCGGTGCAAATCACAAAAATTAGGCCTTTTATTAATTAAAACCCAAAGATCTAAGTTACATATAAAATGTTCAGATTCAGACTTGCTACAAGCATATCAAAATCATCCAACACATTGAGTAAAATAAAGCATCAAAATAAGTATTGCGTTCAAATTTAATTAAGCAGATTCACCCCATCAAAAAATAACCACATTCACACCAAATTTAAGCAAATTTAAACTACACTGCCTAATGACTCTTACAAAAATCAAAAATCAGTGGCTTATCAAAAATCAACTTACAAAAAATAACCAAAAGGGGCTACAATCAATGGATTAAATGAGATAATAAGATTTTCGAACATGAACAACTGAATAAATAATGTCAGTAAAAAGAAATCTAAAATCAGAAAGAAACAAATCAATATAAGAAAAAGTGAATAATTTTACCTTTGGCCGGATGACTCGAATTGTTGAAAAACTTGAATCGTTCGACCAAGTAAAATAATCAACTATTTTGTTTTTTTTACAAAAAGAATCTCAAAGAGAACTTCAAACCTTAATTTCAAAAACAGAGTAGTGAAGAAAGAGCACGAAGTGACTAGAATGTGAAAACTGAAATGCTGACTTGTTTTTGAAAGTGAGTTTTTTTTTATTTTTTATTTTTGTTTTCATTTAATTTGGAGTATAGGCTTACCGCTTGTTTTTGTTTCAAATTGGGCCATTCGGCGACCTTTTCATTTATCCGTGTTTCAAAATGTAAATGGGTTCTCCTATTATAAATATTTATTTATAAATGAAACAATCACTTTATATATATACTATATATTTTATAAAATAGGCCTAAACTTTTTGGATGCCCGGGCAAAGGCACTGTTTGCACAGCCTCATCTACGGCCCTGCAACAGGGTCTTGCCACCTGACGTCTTTAGAATTCTTAGAAATCGTCGGAGGAAGACGATGAACAATAACTCTGATTTTCAAAAGTGCCTGAAAAATCAAAAGAAAAATACCGGAAGATGCGTCTCAACAAGACGACCGCTAGGCCATCTTTCTTTTTTGTTTCCAGCCACCCTTATCACCAGAAAGTCCACCGGAAAAGTAATATTAGCGAATTCTTTTTTAAAAAATACTCCAAATATATCCGAAAAATCCAAAGAGGAAGGTGATTTGGAGGTCATCTTGACGAGCCGCACCTACCGGTATTTTTTTTAATTTTCTGGGCCATTTTGAAAATCGGAGTTACATTCATCGTCTTCCTTAGGCTTTTTTAGCGGCGTCAAACGTCAGGACCCTGTTGTGATAATGGACTTCAAACACATTAACCACTTTGTTAAAAATTGAAACACATGATCCTATCTAAAAACGGACTCAATCACAAGTACTTTTTGCGTAATTTTCCCTATTATTTTTTAAAAGAACTATAAGTCCTACCTTGGAAAGAATAAATTTAGTCTGATTTTAAAAAAAAATCATGACGTACAAGTTTTTTGAATGATTTCTTTACAAGATTATGGGAGAGTAGTTATCATTTATGTGCTATATGATATGTGTGAGAAATGAAAAAAACAAAAAGGAAATGGGATCACCATTTTCATTCTTTTTACTCAATATTCTTTCTTTTTACGAAACAACAAAAGTTCTCCATTGGTTGGCCTAGCACTAGAAAAAAATCCGTAAATACACAAACATAGTACATTTTTGCAAATTGGAGTATCATATCACTATTTTCTTATCGGCATAGGATGCACCGATGCACGTACTACGATCCTATTTAGATATTTTTTATTGTTTTCTTTTTAATACGACTAAATAAGCCTTACTTTAAACAAAAAAATAGTTACTCCTATTTTATAAATTAAATTATGTTTTACTCTTAGTTTAAACTTCTTATTTCATTAATCTCTACATTTTCAACCGGATATCCTCATCTTCTTAAACAAAGTCGTCATCGTGTAAATTAACATAATACTCCATCCGTCCCGTTGGAATGTTCCCGGTTTGATCTACACATATTAAGGAAATAAACTTACCAGGGATAAATTTTATTGTTTTGACACTGTTTCGACACTGTTTGGCACTGTTTCGACACTGTTTGACACTGTTTTGCACTGTTTGACCCTGTTTTGATGTAGTATAACTTTCCATTTGGGGAAATGAGAACTTTCCAACGAGACATCCAAAAAAGGAAAGCGGCAACATTCCAACGGGACGGAGGGAGTAATAGTTATTAAAAGTTACTAATATAATAACTTTATACAATGTTCACATGTTTATCCATCATCATATTCTTGATTATATATACGTAGTATGTTATTATTTCTTCATTAATTGATGCATTGAACAAATATATACTTACAACCTATATTAACCACCTTACCGTAAAAATTGACTTATGTAAGTTAATCAAGCAAAAAAGCACATGTAGCCCACTGCTCATTTTCCTCCGACATACGGAGTATTATATTACGAGCCCGTTTGATAACATGAAAATCGGCTGATTTGGTTGATTCTGCTGAAATTTATGAAGTTCTTGTTGAAGTGCCCGCATTGATTGATTATGCTGATTTAGGAAAAAAATACTTTTAAAATACATTTTATTAATAAATTAAAGAAAAAATTATATGTAAAAATAGCTAAAATGGTCATCTACAGTAACTTCAGCCAATACCGGCGGAAAAGTAACTTCAACCTTACTTTTTCTGCTTATTACACAATTCAGCGCGCGAAAGCAAAATTTACATGTTTGGTGAAAAAGTTGGCTGATAAGCCTGATAAGCCGATAAACAGTGTTACTAGATGGCCTCTACAACTAAGAGCCCAGTGACCCATTTCTCGGCTTATCAGGCTTATCAGCCAGCTTTTCACCAAACACATAATTTTTTATTTCGTGGCTGAAGTTTGTGATAAACAGAAAAAGTAAGGTTGAAGTGACTTTTCTGACTGTTTTGGCTGAAGTTACTATAGAGGATCATTTTAGCTATTTTTCATATAATTATTTATTTAATTTATTGATAACAAATATTTTAAATATAATTTTTTCATGAATCAACAGAAACAGGCAATACAGCCACTTCAGTCAGGACTTCATAAATTTCAGTAGAATCAACCATTTCAGTCAATTTTAGTGTTACCAAACAGATTCTAGTATTCTACAACTTTAAAACTATTCTCTCTTTTTAATGATATTTTAGATTTCGAGCGAGAGGTTATACTATTGTTTGGTACATTATAAAATGTGTTTTAGACACTACTACAATAGTTGAACTTCGGCTTCAAATGTTACTATGTTGGAGTTGACTGATAAAATTTAATTAATGATAGGTGAAATAGTTTTGGGGCAATTCACAAACAAACTTATGGAGTATGCGCTAAAAAAAGTTGTGTCAAAATATAGATCAAATGGATAAGGTTTGGATAAGGAATAATAATTATAAGATCAAATGGATGTTTCATTAGTTAAATCAATAGTAAATTAATCCCCACTATTTAAACAAAAAAAACCACTAACAAGTCAAGTTAGCAAAACAAGGAATAATATAATAATGCATCGCGACTTTAAAGTCATCCACTAAGTTTTCAGCTTACTGAATAAGTAGTACTCCCTAGTCTCATATTTAACTCCGATTTTGACCGGGCACGAGTTTTAACATAGTGAGATTTGTGTGGTGGAGAGTTATGCAGATGAGAGAGAAATGTGTAAGAATGGTTGTGAACCACATATTCTTTACCAAAAAGGGAAAAAGAAGATAAATTTGGGACGGACTGAAAAGAAAAGAATGAAGATAATTACGGGACGGAAGGAGTATAATATACGAAGTATATAATACGAGTAATACATTTCAAAGTCTTCCTAAATAACTAGCTATATTTGTTATCCCTTTTCTTGGCACCCTTTTCTCTCCACTCCCTATAGGAGTGATGATTGAAAAAGACTGCATTCATAAATACTTTTAAAGTCAAAGGACATTTTAAAGTCTCTTAATTAAAAAATGATACTTATGATTCGGAATTTTTATTTGGAGATTTCGTTATGATAATAGTTAAGTTCAAAATTATATAGGGGGGTAAACTTGTCTGGAGTATTATTTCATAGGTGTGTGTGTGTGTGTATATTTTTAATAATAAAGCTAGATATTTGTTTTATAGTCTCTTTTGATTAGTAGCTAGGATAAATTTGACAGCTAGAAATTATTAGATGAATTGAATTTGTTTTAAATCGTGACTAAATTGTTGAGTGGCTTGATAATTAACTGAATTACTTTTAAAGATGATGATTTTCATAATAAACTATAACGAAAAATGTTTAAAATGTGTGACTCATGAGTAGGTATGGACCCGATCCGATTCTGGGCCGATTCTTATCCGAGGAACTAGTCAATTCCGTTCCAATTATCCAAATTGTACAAAAGTGTATTTCTGATACAAAGTGGTGGAACTAGAAGCGGTTAGAGGCCGCCTAGAGGGCCAAGCCCCCTTGAAAAATTGTTAATGTGTGTTGAAAAAACCTCATCTATGAACTGGATATGCATGTTTGTTAATACGCATATACAAAATTGTGTCATGTTTCAGACTTGTGTGCTACTATAGAGTTCATAATAATTCATAACTTGAATATGCACCACTCCATTAGATGATACTCCCTCCGTCCCTATATAAAAGTATCCATTCGTTTTCCACACATTTTAAGAAAGTGGGATTGATTGGTACTGTTTGGCACTGTTTTGCACTGTTTTGCACTGTTTTGTTTGCCAAAAAAGGAAAGGGAACTTTTATTTAGGGACGACCCGAAAAGGAAACAAATGCTTTTATTTAGGGATGGAGGGAGTAATATTGATGACATTTTCTTTTCTTTTAACCTAGACTAGATTCTTAAACTATGTTATTATTATAAGTAAAAGTAATGATTGATGAGACTATATGAAAGTTCTTCATAAACTTCACCAATTAATGGTGGCTAATGCAGGGTTTGGTAATATTAACTATTCAAGCTCGTTCGGACTCACTGAAGCCGCCGACATGCACGCCAGGCGCACACACGGTTCCCTGCGAGCAGGTCCACGGCTCACAAGCTGCAATGCTATTCATAGGCTTGTATCTAGTGGCATTGGGAGTGGGAGGCATAAAGGGCTCTCTGCCGCCGCACGGAGCCGAGCAGTTAGACGACGAGACGGTGGAGGGAAGAAAGCAGAGGTCTACTTTCTTCAACTACTTTGTGTTCTGCCTCTCATTTGGAGCTCTGTTTGCTGTCACTCTAGTGGTGTGGGTTGAAGATCATAAAGGGTGGCAATGGGGATTTGGCATTGCTATGATGGCTATACTTCTCTCCATTCCAATCTTCCTTTCTGGTTCCAAGTTTTATAGGAACAAGGTTCCCCTTGGAAGTCCTCTCACAATCATCTTCAAGGTTTGTAAAACCTTATTTATACTTTTAATAATAACAACAATAAACTTATTCAAGTAAAGAAACATACTCCCTATGAAGATAAAAGTAAAAACTATTACTCACTTTTTGAAACATTCCAAATAAAGATTTATTCTATTTAAATAGATGTTGGCAATGCTTTGACTTTTGAGGATAAGTAAAGAGGTAACTTGGTAAGGTTTTGACTTTTGAGGGATGAGTATTACATATGGAGTAGTTGCTATTTGTCAACATAACCTATTTTGATGATGAAAAGTCAACCAGTAAAGATTTCAAACATAACCTATTTTGATAATGAAAAGTCAACCAGTAAAGATTCAAACATAACCTATTTTGACAATGAAAAGTCAACCAATAAAGATTCAAACATAACCTATTTTGACATTGAATAGTCAACCAATAAAGATTAGAATTTAAAAGGTGGACTGGACCTATTTCTACTATCGATCCATTCCGTCATCAACAATAAACTAAGTAAGAGACAATGAACCTGTTTGGATATCAGCGGCTTACGCCAAACCGTCAATTTTTTACAAAGTTAAACGCCGGTATTTGCAGCGTTTTGGCGTGAAACTGCCAAAAAACAAATGGACCCAATGTTGGACCTGGTTAGATTAACTAAAGAGACTGAAACATGGATTGAAATGTCTAAATCCAGTGAATATTATTTAAAATATACAGCATATTTCAAAACAAATTAAGCGAAATAACATATGGTTAGATGACTAAGATCTAACCCGGATGAACTTTGTTTGGCAATCATACAGGTTATAGTTGCTGCAATACTAAACTCATCATCTCTGCCGAAAACTCCAAGCAACGCGATTGTAAACATGGCCAACAGCCCATCTCCTCCCATTCCCACCACCAAGGAAGCGGCGATCACCACTGCAGGAAATGAACAGCCATCACAAAGCCTGAAATTTCTGAACAATGCAGTGTTAAACAAACCTAATAACAGCAGATGGGGATCACTACAATGCTCCGTCCAACAACTCGAAGACGTCAAAACCGTCATAAAAATCCTCCCCATCTTCGCCTGCACCATCATGTTAAACTGCTGCCTGGCCCAGCTCTCCACATTCTCGGTCCAACAAGCTGCAACCATGAACACCCACCTTGGTTCCCTCAAGGTCCCTCCAGCCTCTCTCCCGGTCTTCCCCGTTGTCTTCATGATGATCCTTGCCCCGACCTACGACCACTTCGTGGTACCACTCATGCGTAGAGTCACTCGCACGGAGATGGGAATCTCCCATCTCCAGCGCATCGGGGTCGGTTTGATCCTATCCATCTTAGCTATGGCCGTTGCTGCCCTCGTTGAGGTCAAGCGGAAACATGTGGCAGTTGGGTCTGGACTTGTTGACTCGACGAGGCCTTTACCCATCACATTTTTCTGGATCGCGCTGCAGTACCTCTTTCTGGGATCCGCTGACCTGTTCACGCTCGCCGGCTTGATGGAGTTTTTCTTCTCAGAAGCGCCGTCGAGCATGAGGTCGTTAGCCACATCACTCTCTTGGGCATCACTAGCAATGGGATATTATCTGAGCACAGTGATTGTGTCTGTTGTGAATAGTGTGACTGGGAAGTCGAACCATCAAGCGTGGCTTTCTGGGGAGAATTTGAACCATTACCACTTGGAGAGATTCTACTGGCTGATGTTCATACTTAGTGTTCTCAACTTCTTGCACTATTTGTTCTGGGCTTTGCGGTACAAGTACATATCTCGAAAGTAATGATGAGATATATAATAGTAACAATAATAATATATATTTGTAGTGAGTTGATTAATGACAATGGAAATGTATTCACCATACTTCTTCATTGTAATTATACAAGAGATATATATGTAGAGCAGTACAGTCATCCTAAAATAACCTGGAGATCCTGAATGGAAAAGTATTTGTGCCATTGTCCAAGGTTGATGATGAAGGAGGAGATAAACTGCAGAGTAGAAACCAAGCAGAACTTGGTCATTAGCCTTCTACAGAATTGGAATCCACACATTGTGTATCTAGATGCAAGGTCGCATAGTAAAGTGGTATTTACAATGCACTTTACAGGTTCCTAGATGTTGTATGTTAAGATTTGAGGTTTCACGCTTTCACCTTTCGATATTAATGCGATATGAGTAGGCAAATATCTTATATATGTTGTATTCATATATTTGATGAAATGAGATAGCTTAATATTGTAAATTCTAATCCTTCAGAAACCTCAAAGCACCATCAGACACACACACACTTTACCTTGAACACTCGATCAATTAGAGAAATCGAAATGTATTCCGATATGAGGTTCCTTGCTTGAAGAAGTTTACCAAGCGGTCTGTTTAATAAAGAGTGTAAGTGTCTAAAAAACAGAAAAATAAGCAAGGTACCCACAATGATGAGACTGGAGAGCATACTGTTACGGACCAATTCTATTCGCCTGAACTTCTATTGCGCCCCCAATCCAACCTACGTTCAGTATCAGTACCTGCCACTGCGGAATCCAACCCGAACCGACGCCAAACAAATCCAAACTTCAAAAAGATATCTCGCGCAGAGGTTGCTATTTGCATGGAAAAAGGCCTTTGTTATAACTGTGACGATCCTTGGGTCCGTGGCCATCAATGCAAAAGGCTATTCTTTATTGAAATTATGGATGAAGACCAGTCAGAAAATCAGTTCGAGCCAACTCTCTCCCTTCATGCTATAACTGGCCTCAGTTCCACTTCCACTATGCAATTGGCAGCAACTCTTCACGATATACCCATCACAGTTCTGGTAGACTCGGGTAGTACTCATAATTTTGTACATCAAAGGCTGGTTCCAGGAAATACCCATTCAATTCATCCTGGATCCCGTCTCCATGTCCAACTGGCTAATGGGGACAGAGTGCCTATCCTGGGCACATGTCCTCAACTTGACTTAGTGGTGGGAGGACGCACATTTATTGCTGACTTTTATGTGCTTCCATTGGCCGGGTTTGACATGATATTGGGCGTTCATTGGCTTCAACGCCTCGACTCGATTGAATGAGATTTTTCACGTCTTTTCATGCGCTTTGTCTGGCAGGGCACTCCAGTAGAATGACATGGCCATACTCGAGTCCCAACACTTCAGGCCCACATGATCACAACCACATCCCCTAGCATGGAGAGTCTCTTGGCCCAATTTGAGGACCTCTTCAGGTTGCCTGCTGGACTGCCACCTCCACGTGTTTGTGATCACAAGATCACTTTGCTTCCAGGAACTGGTCCAGTGGTTGTTCGTCCTTACTGTTACCCCTATTTCCAAAAGGACGAGATTGAGAGGCAATGTACAGAGATGCTTCAGCAGGGTATTATCCGCCCCAGCCGCTCTCCCTTCTCATCACGCGTCCATCTGGTTAAGAAAGCTGAGGGCACATGGCGATTTTGTGTCGACTGCAGGGAACTCAATTCCAAAACCATTAAAGACAAGTTTCCGATTCCTGTCATTGACGAGTTACTGGATGAACTTCATGGATCCAAATTCTTTACAAAACTTGACTTGCGCTCGGGCTACCATCAGATTCGCATGGCAGAAGAGGATATTGAAAAGACGGCTTTCCGAACTCATCACGGCCACTTTGAATTCTTAGCCATGCCATTTGGACTCACCAACGCACCATCAACGTTTCAAAGCTTAATGAACGACATCTTTGCACCATACATTCACAAATTTGTCCTCGTTTTCTTTGATGACATACTCATTTATAGTAAGTCATGTTTATCATGTCCACGTGGTACTGGAGACCTTGCGCACTCATGGTCTGCCCTTAAAGAAATCCAAATGCAGTTTTGGCGCACCGCAAGTCCAATATCTCGGGAATGTCATCCATAGCAAAGGCGTTGAGGCAGATCCAGCAAAAATCCAGGCTATCACGGATTGACCAATACCCCATTCAACTACAGCTTTAAGCGGTTTTTTGGGCCTGGCAGGTTATTACCGCAAATTTATTCACCATTATGGTGACATTGCCGGACCACTCACACAATTGCTGAAGAAGAATGCCTTTTCTGGACAGATGCAGCCGAACAAGCGTTCCACGAGTTGAAATTGCGCCTTTCTTCGGCCCCAGTTCTCCAATTACCTAATTTAGACAAAGAATTTTTCGTAGAATGTGATGCATCGGGATCTGGTTTTGGGGCAGTATTACAACAAGAAAGCCATCCCATCGCATATTTTAGTCACCAGATTGCTGCCTGCCACATTAAGATCGCAACTTATGAAAGAGAGCTGATCGGGTTAGCCAAGGCAGTCACACATTGGTGACCCTATTTATGGGGATCTGAATTTCTTATTCAAACTGATCATTCGTGTTTGAAACATTTACTGGATCAAAGACTTACTACATCCCCGCAACAACATAGGTTAAGTAAGTTAATGGACTTTAATTTCTGAGTAGAATACAAACTAGGACGCTTCAACATTGTAGCGGATGCTTTGTCTCGACAACATGAAGAGGTTATGCAGATGGCAGCACTCACAGTTTCTTTCAATACTCTCCTCAGTGAAATCCGGCTTGAACAGACTGTTTCCCCGATTACGAATGCTATCCGTCAGGAAATCCATGAGGGAAAACGTGGGCCAGATTGGGAACTCCGAGACGGCTTAATTTATTACCGCTTCAAACTCTATCTGTTAGATACATTTTGAAATAGTTCAGACGTTGCTCTCGGTATTTCATAACATGGCTCATAAAGGTGTTGAAAAAATTCTTCAGCGACTGCGACGTGAGTTTTATTGGACTGGCATGAAGACCACGGTGACCAACTTTGTCCGGGATTTCCAGACATGTCAAAAGCAAAAATGGTTAACATTACAACCGGTCGGCTTATTGCAACCTCTGCCCATTCCGCATCACATTTGGGCAGATATTTCCAAGGATTTCATTGAAAGCTTACCCAAGGTCCGAAGTAAATCTGTCATTCTGGTTGTTGTTGACAGACTCTCTAAAGCCGCTCATTTTATTCCTTTAGCTCACCCATATACGGCAGTTTCCGTGGCTAATATATTCTTTTCTGAAATTTTTCGTCTTCATGGGCTACCGGAATCCATTGTCTCTGATCAATTCTATGGGCGTACATATGAACGAAGGAAGAAGTGTGGGGCAGAGAAGATTAATGACCAACGTGGCTAAGAGAAAAAGAAGAGAAAATAAATAAGAAGGCAGTTAGAGTCATATTAATATTGTTATTTAATTAGTCCTACTTTAATTAGTATTCCTTTATTTTAGTTGTATTAGAATAGCAACTTAGTTTCTTATTTGTTTTAGGAAACCCTTTATCTATTTAAGGGGATCCCTGTTACTTTAATAAACAGCTTTTTGGTTAATTAATCTTGAAATCTCTTGACTAGGTCGGGGATCGATAATTATCTATTAGGCATCTAATTCAGTTCATCTATTCCTCGCCAATTAAAATAGCTCCAGGAACATCATCGTTTACCTGTGGTCAATCCCAAAACACTCTTTCACCTACAAAACACATACAAAACATCAAATGCTCTCGAAGCTCACATCTTATCCTAAAAGTGTTCACTTGCTCAATGATGAATATCGTCAACTCCATAGACCTAAAAGAATACACACTAACTATTAGAATGCATAATATTCACAAAAGAAAACCCATTTTTGGACCCCATTTTCGACTGTGAAGAATAAAGGCATAGTACTTTTGAATCCAATGGTTGAAATAAACAAGGAAATGCATGTGAAGTTCTAGAAACCGCAAACACTATTCAAAGATCTCCACTGCAATATGCATACAAGCATAGTAAAACAAGAGATTTATGTTCCAATTGGTGGCTTTATAGATTCTAGAGTATAACAACCATACCTTAAACTCAATATATTTCAATCTAGTACAAGGTACAATAGATAGAGGAAACTTCAGTACCTAGGTTATCCTAAGTATACTAATTTCATTCTATGAATTTTAACTATTACACAGACTCTCTGATTCTTCATGTATCAGACAAGTTATGATTAGACTATCTTTAATCATTCAAAGTACCTCTCACCAAAGTATTCTAAAAGGAAAACAGGGCATAAAAATTGAAAATGGTGGCTTATTGAATTCCCATATACATATAGTCTCAACAGTGGCCTAAATATCACATTCAAAATCTAAATCAAAACACAAGAGCCTTATCATCTAGTAGTCTAGGTTGACTAATGATTAATAACTAACCCCAAAAAGTTTGAGAACTCTGTGAAACAAAAGTTATTTATTTGCCAATATTCATAATGTAAGCCCAAAAGGTTGAATTCACTATAGCAGTACACCACTGATATGCAAATCATCTCTATTGAACAATCATTTTTCCACATGAATAAAAATATAGTAACTAAAGTTGAGAAATGAAGCAATTCATTAACCAAGACAACCTTATCTTTTATAATCTCTACGTGAGGTTGGTTTTTTGCAAATCTGAAAAGGATGAGGACATCAAAAACCATATAATTAAAATAATTTGTATAGAACAATGCAGCTATTGTTATAGCAAAATTGATCTAAAATATTGATTTCAAGATAAATACTCCCTCCGAAATATTCATATCTTCCCACTTTTCTTTTTCGACCGTAACATTCATAGCTTCGCATTTCTAAATCTTCCAATCAGACCCTCAATAGTTTTGAAAATATTACTCTATTACAACTATTTTTTTTTGGATTTATTCTTCATTATAACACACTATTTCATTATCTTCCCATCATACCCTCAATAATTTATACTCTTTTGTTATTCCTAATCTCATGTACTTTTAAAGGGGAAGATATAAATGTTAAGGAGATACTACTACACAAAAGAAAAACAAAAGAAAAACAAGAAGCGGATGTAACATTATTTTGAATTAATCAATAATATTGTCCCATAAGTGTGGTGCAATGATGGCGGATACTTGTAACGGTTTCCGTTACAAGAGTCACCTTGATGGTAGGTGATTATATATATTGCTCCATGGTCCTCCCACTCCTCCAAAAGGCATAAGGCTCAAAGCTCACATAAAGTATATACACCATCTAGATAGTGAGGAGTGAAGTGAGAGACGAAAAGGCTTTTCGGGGTTCTTCCACGTTGTTCGACCGTTCATCAACAATATGGCTGGAGATTAGCAATCCTATTATTTCCGCTGCGTTTATATGATTTTAGGCTAACATTTGGTATTAGAGTCTGTTTAATCTCTGCCTATTTCTTCCTCTTTTTCTTCCTCCTCTTCCTCCTCTTCTTCCTCTTCCTCCTCTTCTTCC